ATAAGTCAATTCAGTTATTTCAACAGCTGCATCATTGGCCGTGCGCGGTGGCTCACGCCTGTAATCCTAGCACTCTGGGAGGCAGAGGCGGGTGGATCTCTCAAGGTCAGGAGTTCGAGACCAGCCTGAGCAAGAGCGAGACCCCGTCTCTACTAAAAAATAGAAAGAAATTAATCAGACAACTATATATATAAAAAAAAAATTAGCCGGGCATGGTGGCGAATGCCTGTAGTCCCAGCTACTCGGGAGGCTGAGGCAGGAGGATCGTTTGAGCCTAGGAGTTTGAGGTTGCTGTGAGCTAGGATGACGCCACGGCACTCTAGCCCCGGCAACAGAGCAAGACTCTGTCTCAAAAAGAAAAAACAGCTGCATCATATCCCATGAGATAGATGTTCCACGGTTCATTTCAGCTTCCCTTACAGGACAGATTTTACAGTTTTTTAACCACTTCACTACAAATGGTATAATAATCATCCTTGATCTTTTTTTTCATGTTAGTACTTTAACATATTTTTAATATGTAATTTGTTTCCTGGAAGTAAAATTACTGAGACAAAGGTATATAGTCTTAATGTAAGTCTGGATTTCTTTCCAAAAGGGGGTAGTAATTCACATTAATATCCTCATCAAAATTAGATATTATCATTCTTTCATTTTTGCCAATCTGATAGTTGAAAAGATGATATACTGTGAATTCTTTCCCCTCATTATTCATGAAATTAAGCTTCTTCTATTGTTGGGCATTTGTATTTTCTCTTCTGTGTGTTGCCTGCTCATATTCATTATTCATTTTTCTTTTGGGTTGTCATCTTCTTAGTCTTCTTACTGCCTAGAGATCTTTATGTATATCATGGATGCTAACTCTTTATCTAACAAATGTGTTTAAAATATTTTATGCCAGTCTTGTTTTTCTTTTGACTCTATGGGGACTTTTGCCACAGAAAATTTATTTTTAAGTAGTCATATTTTTTCTTTTATAGCTTCCATATTTCTTATCTTGCTAAAAGAGGTCTTTTGGACCAGGATTTATACAAGTATTCTCCTAAATGTTCTTGAAATTTTTTTTT